ATTGCACCGCCCCCCCCCCTTTTGGGTCGACCGAAGGTTTGACCGTTGCCCCACGTGGGCGTGCTGCTCCGAGTTCAGCGCCCCCGGCCTCGGGCCCGCCGTCGGGCCCCGGGGACCATAAGGACGGATGCGGGGCGAACAGCCGCAATGACCCAGGGAAGGGGGCCGGGAGTTCTGGTGCCGCGGCTTGGAAAAGCACGTCTCGGGGGCGGCCAGGAGGGGCGTGAGGGCCAGGGAGGGTCCCGATCTCATGGCGTGGGCTGTGATAGTTCCTCGGGGCCCTCTTGAGGCCCCGAAAGCCCCTCGGCAGCGACACGGCGAGAAGGCCCAGCGCGCCCATTTTCTCAAAGTGTTTGAAGGAGTTGGGCCTCATGGTGGCCTCCTTGGGAGGCTCCGTGGCCAATTGAGGCCGTCTTGGGATCGCTTGGATGCATGATGGAAGCTGTCTTGAGCGAACTTGGGCTACCCCGTGCCATCTGGGAGGCCATCTTGGGTTTTCTTCTGCCCAGTCGGAGACGATCTGACCGCTCGCCACCCTCCGTCAGACCCAGGGGAGGGCGTAGGGAGAGGGGTAATGCTCTCCCAAGGGGAAGCAGGGGGTGGAAGACGAAGCGTTCCAGACCACCTCCGCAAAGAGGGGCTGGTGGGGTTCATCATCACCCAGTGTGCTGATGCGTGAGATTCCCCCTCGCCTTCTCTTCATCGCCATCCTTCACCACCGCTCACCCCTTTGGCCGTCCATCCCTGCTGCAGCCCCCGACCACCTGACCGGCCCAAGCGGGGTCCCCGCCCCACCCCCGCCCCCCTCGACTCGAGCACGGCGAGCAAGCGGCGCAAGCAGAAAGCGGTAGAGGTCCGCCCGGATCTCCTGGGTGGGCGCACCATCCCCACGGAACGCGCCAGGGGCGGCGCCGGAGGCGCCGCCCCTGGCTCTCTGGACCCGCGGAGCTGGCGCCCCTTCTCTGGCTGCGGGGTTTCGGGGTCCCTCGGAGGACGGCGTTTTTTTTTTTAGTTTTGCGTTTTTGGCGTGCCTGCTGGAGGCTCGTCGACGCCGCGGCCTGCTCAGTGGGCCGGGTGGGAGAGTTGTCGTTGTCTTAGTTGGTCTTCCTGGGAGCCGATGGCCCAGAGTCGGCCTCGGGGCGGCGGGCTGGGGGGGAAGGGTCCTGCTTCGGCCGGTGGCTGTCCACAGCCCGCTGGGGGGGCGGCTGGTGGAGACTTGGGACGCGCTGCTGGAGGCGCGCGAGAGGGGCTGGGTCACGCGGGTGGTCATCGTTGCCCAACCTGTCCCATCCCCATCCCCATTGGGTCATGGTAAGCTGAGCCCAACCAGCCCACCCGCCTAGGTGGGGATAGCCCCGCAATGCCCGAAGGAGCTGCTTGCTTATGTCCTCACCTCGGGGGGGTTAGTCGACCAATGGGGCCAAGGCGACGCCAGTGGGGGTGGGGATCGGTTAAGCGATGCTCAGGTGGGGGTGTCGAACTTTGGCGCGGCGCACCTGCGGGGCCTCGCCGAGGCCGGCCGGGAGCCGCCCTGCGTGAACCAGGTCGCAGGATGCGCTTCTTATGCGTTTGATTTCAACGGTGAAGTTCAGCATCTATGCTGGTATATCCATTGGCGAGAGCCGGCCTGATCTCGCGCAACCCCGCTTGATCCGCCTTGAGCAGCCTTGGTCCCTTTTGATCTGGCATATTCCTGGGCTTGCTCAGGAGTTTCTCTGGCTCACGAGGCCCTGTAGTCGGGCTCAGTGCCTTTCTCGCAGGCCTAGAGGTTGACACCAACACCAATTTCGGCGGTGGCTCGAAGATCCCGATCTCGGCTCTGGCTTCCAAGGTGACCGAAATATTACCACCAACACCGAAATCTAGGATTTTATTCTTCCCCCTGTGGAGGCCATCTTCTGTGTTGGTGTTGGTGCCCATTTCCAGGCCTCCAAGAGTTTCTCTGGCTCGCGAGGCCCTGTAGCCGGGCTCAGTGATTCTTCGCCCTTCTCTCGACGACGTCCCAGGAGTTGTCTCTGCCCGCAGGTCGAGCTCAGCCCCTTCTGCCAGGAGCGGGCGCTGCGGGCCCTCTGCCGGCGCCAGGGCGTCGCGATGATGGGATACTCGCCGCTGATGATGGGCTGGTCTTCCACCACCACCACCATGGGTTGGAGGGGGGAGGGAGTCCTCCTCCTCCTCCTCCTCCTCCTCCTCCTCCTCCTCCTCCTCCACCTCCTTCCCCCCTCCAACTTGTGGTGGTGGTGGTGGTGGTGGAAAACAGGCCCATCAGCTGACGCGCGGGCAGCGCCTAGCGGACCCGCGCGTGGCGAGGGTCGCGAGGAAGCACGGCCGCTCCGCCGCCCAGGTGCTGATCCGGTGGGCCATCCAGCAGGGCGTTGTGTCCATGCGGCGGCGCGCACGAGCCCGACGGAGGGTTTGCAGGAGGGGAGAATCGGCACGGTCTCCGAGAGTCGTCGCTTCCCAGGGGACTATTGGAACAGATGGCCAGTGGGGGGGGGGGAAGACGGCAGTCCAGACCGTATGGGAAAATGTTGGGAGTCATGGCGCTCGTGTTACTTTCTTTGTGCCTCCTCGGGCCCCTTTAGGTGTCTGTGGCTATCAGCAGGCTCCGTGGCCCTCGTGGGGCCCCAGGACCGTCCAAGAACGGCAAGGGGTGAAAAGGCGGTCCCGGGGAAGAGGTCTGTATTTCCGTGCGCCAAACAACAAAAAACATCACGTCGGGTGCGTGGTTACGGCGCCCCTCGTCTTCGTTCCTTCCCCGTGCACGCCGGACAGCTGGCCACTCGATTCCCGCGATTCGCCCCACGCTGGTGCGGACTGCTTCTGCCCTGCCGCCGACGAAAAACAGCGTGTGGGTGCGGCGAGGGTCGGGGATCGTCTAGGGGAGGTCTGTGGACGCGTTGGCCCCGTCTGTGCCGCTAGGACTGCCCCCTCGCGGCAGCGCGGCTGGGCGCATCCCTGGGGGAGAGGCGGGCCGGGCGGGGGCCGAGGAGCGCAGCTGGCCGGGGGAGCGATCTCTCCCCCTTTCGCCCGGGCCTCTTGTCGGGTGCAACGTTCGTGGCGCACAGGCTCAGGGGAGGAAACATCGACCCCTATCTCGCCAGCCTCGAACTCATCGCTATCCCTAAGATTGACAATCCAAAAGGCGATGACAATCTTAGGGATGCGCCAACAAAACCTAAGGGAATCCCTGAGATTGGCATCGTGATGAGGCGATGCCCAGCATAGGGATAGGGGTATGTTCCAGGCTAGTAACTATCGTCCAGCCAACTGGACGAGGACCTGATAGCCCACCCCGCCCAGGAGCGAGCGTGCGGTGTCGCTGCCGAGGGCCCATCGCCGATCTATCGGCGATGTGTCGCCGATGCTAAGTCGATATTTCCCCCTTGTTCCCTGTGCTGCCCCCCTCACAAAGTTGGAGGCTGCTGAAAGGTCTGAGCTGCATTCGCCCAGAGGCAGTATATCAAGAGGAGAGGATGAGGCCACCATCCTCAAAATCGATCCCCAGACCCGTCCCAGGGCCGAAACTAATCAGTGTTTCAAGCAGCGCCCAGCCGTGACAACGAGGGGGGCCCTTTCCCCCTCTATGTGCTAGCTGGCACCAGCGTCCGCCCTCAGCCCCCCAGCCCCCTCACCCTGTGCGCGCCGCCAATCCGTACCAAAGACGGTGCGCAGGGAGCGCCTGGAGGAAAACCTGGGCGCCTTCCAGTTCTCGCTCGACGGCGCCGACCTGGAGGCGCTCGCGGCGTGCGAGGAGGGGCTGCACACCTGCTGGGATTGCCTCGAGGAGCCCTGGACGGGCTGAGCACGGCAGCGTGTGGCTGGTGGCGGGCTCGTCATCATCCTCAGACGTGTTGTTGTTGTTGTTGTTGTTGTTGTTGTTGTTGTTGCTGCTGTTGCTGTTGTTGTTGTTGTTGTTGTTGTTGTTGTTGTTGTTGCTGTTGCTGTTGTTGTTGCTGTTGTTGGCGTTGAGTTCTCAGTTCCAGAGGAATGTTTGGTGATCCCCCCAGTCCAGTGCACCTTGTGTTTTTTCCCTACCACCCTGTGGTGTTGGGTCTCCGCTTTGAAGTGAGAGTGCCCCGCGTCCTCCTCTCCTCCTCCCCCTCCCACTCCTCCCTCTTCCCACCGTAGGAAGCTCCATCGACGGCCCCAGCGGTTGGGTTCGCATGCGGCTCCCCTCCCATTTCGTCACACCTGTAACACGCTTCGTGGCCCCATAGGGGGCTCCACCGTAGGCTTCAGTAGCAGGGTTCGCATGCGGTTTCCCACCGATTTCGGCACACCCCTCACGCTTCGTGGTCCCAATGGGAGCTCCACCTAAACCCTCAGTGGCAGGGTCCGCATGCGGTTCCCCGCCCAGGTCGGCACACCCATCACACGTTGTGCGGCCCCATGGGGAGCTCCACCGAAAGCGGTGCCACAACGCGGTATTCACAATTGCGCATGGTTGGGATTTCTGCCAGGAGTTGTTGTTGATCCGCCCATTCTGGTGCCCATTGCGTTTTTCAATTGACGTGCCTCCCCCAGGGCTCGCACGCGCACCGTGGTTTTCCCAACCATCCTGCGGTGTTGGGTCCCCGCTCTGAAGAGACAGCGCCCCCAGTGTCTCCTCCTCCTCCTCCTCCTCCTCCTCCTCCCTCTTCCGCAGTCCGTAGCCATTCTGGCTCAAGATGACGACCTGGGGGGCTGTCCAGCCTCCAGGCCGAAGGGAGACCTCTGGACCGAGGAAAGTTCCCAGACGGGCGTCGGGCGCGCGCGCGGCATCGCTGCAGCCATGGGGAGTGGCGGCAGCAGACGCGGGGCGGGCAGCGCCTGGTCGAGGACCCCGAATCGCCAGAGGGTTCCCCCGTGGAAGAGGAGCAGCAGTGGCAGTCGCCCTCCTCGCAAAAGCTACGTGGTGTGCGACGGGTGCAGCAGATGGCGCTACTGCAAGAATATCACCAGCAGGGGCGACCCCTGCATCTGCGGCAAGAACCTCGCCTGCCTCGTCCCCGACGGTCATGTCTTCCGTGAAGATGATGGCGGGTGGCTGGCAGCACAGCCCCAAGGAGGAACCTCGCCCAGGATCAGCTGGGCAGATGGTTGGCAGCCAGGTGGTGGTGCAGGCGGGAAAGGACAAGGAGGCCAACGCCAGCCACCACCTCACGACAAGACAGCCGACCTCAAGGCTGCCGCCGCAGCAGCTTACAGCAAGCTCAACAAGGACGACCCGCTCAGGCAGCACTACGAGGCCTTCTGGCCAGAGCTCGCCGCAGCCAAGCCACCAGCAGACCAACCAGTCGCTGGATTCAAGGCAGTGGAGGCAGCTGCTCGACGCTTGGACAAACTCCAGAAGAAAGTGCGATCGGCAGGAGAGCAAGTTGAGAGTGCCCAGCAGTACTTGGCCGAGAGTGAACGCAAGCTTCGTGAAGCCATGGAAGCCTCCATTGCAGCCGAAGATGAGTTCGACAAGCTCAAGGCCACAGTCGGCAAGCAAGAGACACCAGCTGAGCCTGCAGCCGAGAAGCCAACTCTGGCAGCCCTCTTGGAGCAGTTCGAGCACGAGCCTGACGACTTCCACAAGTGGTCCGAGCCAGACAAGGAGGTCTGGCGGGCAGCCAAGGCCAAGGGCGAGCGGATGGCCCAGACGGTCAAGGAGCACGAGGAGGAGACGGCGAAGTACCTGCGACTGCTGGAGGCGGAGACGGCCAGGCACCAGGAGCAGCTGCGCCAGCTCGAGCAGGCCCGCACCAAGCGCCTGTGTAAGAGCGAAGAGCAAGACCCAGCAGCAGCAGAAGCCCCACCAGGCAAGCGAGTCTGCGCCGCCAGCCCAGCCCCTCAGCGAGGTGCCACCGCATGCACTGAGGCAGCAGGGACAGCTGGCGCGGCCGTGCCCACCGGCGCCGCAGCAGCTGCCCAACCTGGAGCAGGTGCAGCAGAACATGACAAAACAGAAGAACGCCGAGCCAGAGTGGAGGCCCACATCCAGGAGGCGCGAGAGAAGGCCTCGCAGGCAAGGCGCGCCGAGACAGTCGTCGACGCAGAAGGGCAGGGCGACCACTCAGCAGGGTAGCCGCCCCAAGGCGAGCGTGAAGAAGGCTCGCCGCCCGCGCCACATTGACTTCTTCAACGTCACGACCTGGGGCCCCCAGGCACAGGGCTACCTCATGGAGATCAACAACACCAAGGACAGGGATATCATTGGCATTGCGGAGCACCACCTCCGCCAGCCTGCACAGATAAGCAAGGCAAGAGCGGCGCTCAGGAGGAATGGCATGCACAGCTACTGGACAGGCACGGCCAGGAGACGGAGAAGGCACTCGAGGAGGCACGCGTGCCATCACGCGAGGATTTTTGGACATCCAGGACAGGATTGCGGGATTCGACGAGCACTACCTGCACGAGGGCGGCAGTGACGTCGCGGTGGTGATCTCCAACCTGCACAAGGTCCGTTTCGCAGTGGCTTTCGTCTACCTTGAGTGTGGGGCGGGCTTTGGAGAGAGGAATGTCGACTTCCTCTGCGACCTGCGGGAGAAGATGGCCGTCTGGGGAGGGCCCTGGGCAGCGCCTGGGGACTTCAACATGACGCCGTCGGAGCTCAACAACAGCATTTGGCCCAGGGTGCTGAATGCTCAGGTAGCTGCGGCGGAGGATGGCGCCCCAAAATGTTTCCCAGCAGCAGGTGAGGCCAGGTGCATCGACTTCGCGCTGATCTCGCAGGGCCTGGCGCCGTACTTCGACCAGCTGGAGCTGCTCAGGACCGTGCCGTGGGAGCCGCACATTGGCATCCGCTTGAAGCTGAAGGGGCGGCCCCTCATGCTCAAGGGCAGGGTACTTCGCAGGCCAGCAGCCATTAAGCCGCCAGTCGCAGTCGAGAAAATGCCGAAGTCCAGAGCCGCTTGCAGACGAGCGGCGCGAGGGGGCCAGGAGGCCATGCGCCGACGACAGCAAGCGTTGGCAGAGGCAGGATACGACCTGGACGAGAACGACATGGAGCCAGTGCCGCAGCTGTACTACGACAAGGAGGTCCAGCACGTCATCTCTGACGAGCTGTGGCAGGCCACCTCCGAGCGGGTCAGCGTGCGCGCCCACGACGAGCTGCCCCAGCATTTGCAGCACACAGTCGTCGGCAAGATGATGGAGCGGGGCATGCTGGACCTAGGACAACAGTACGACCGCTTCGCAAGCACCCTCGAGCTCAGCCTGTGCGAGAGCATCGGTATCCCAGAGGAAGAGCGTGGACGACATCTCGGGCACAGCAGGCCCCCGAGCTACAAGAGCGCGAGCATCAAGGACACCGTCACCTCTACGCCATGGGCAGGGGTCGAAAGGAAGATCCATGCGTGGTGGGCGGAGATCTCCACCTTGGTGCGGCAGCTCTCGCACCATGATGCCCGAGCGCAGGAGGCAGCAGCAAGCCGACTGGGCAAGACCCTGACAATTCCCGACGAGTACTCAGGAGGTGAACAGGGCCCGTCCGCGCCTGAGCCTGGCCCCGTCATGTCAGACAGCCAGGTAGGCCACGAAGACGGGCCCCCGCACCAGCCATGAGGCCATCGAAGAGCTCGGGAGGAAGCTCGGTGGATCGCGGCCCCACCGAGCGGGGCGAGGGCCCCCCCGAGCTGCAGCAGCGGCGTGCAGGCAGGGGAGGCGCAGCAGGAGGCGGCGGCAGCGGCCACAAGGACACCGCGAATCAGCCAGCACCTGAGGAGGTCCCCCCACCTCAGGCCGAGGCGGGCGCAGCGGACCATGGGAAGGCAGCCGGTCCCTGCTCAGAGATGGGTCAGGGGTTCTCGCGCCCCAAGTACAGCGCCACGGGATGTGTCCCAGACCTCGACGTGGGACCAACCCACAGCAGCGCAGACAGCTGAACAGGAGGGATGCAGAGGGGCGCCCTTCCCCCACCAGCAGGACGCAACACCATGGACACCCGAGATCACGACCCCTTCGAGGACGAGGAGCACTACTTGGAGTACCGCCAGGAGATCGCAGACCAGGAGTACAGCGATGGGTACCACCAGCACACCGAGGGGCAGCAGGACAGCCTCGAGTTCGGCCAGTCCGTTCGCCGACTTGCAGCTGGATCTGCCACTCCCCCACCAGCAGGACGCAGCGCCATGGACGTCCAAGACTGCGGCCCCTTCGAGCAGGAGGAGGACGACCCACGGTATCGCCAGGAGACCGCAGATCAGGAGGACTGCGACGGGCACCACCAGCGCATTGAGGGGCAGCAGGACAGCATCGACTACGGCCAGTCCGCTCGCCGGCACCCAGCAGGATCAGGTAATGCTGCCCCAGGGGGCGCGCACTGCTCACCTCCTCAGCCAGCTGGCACTCTGGAGGCAGAGGGTACCGATCACCTGGGGAGTCAGAACCAAGAGCCGCCAGGCCCAGAGGCAGAGGAGCCACGCGATATGGGCCTGCCCCCACCAGACCGCTGGAATGAAGACCAGCACCAGCGGGAGTGGGAAGACTACGTGGCCATGAGAGACGACTTAGAGTACTGGGCGGCCATCTGGATGGATAACTTGGTGCAGCTCCCCACGGACAACAGCAACTGGATGCAGGTCTGCGCGCCGTTCCTGGAGACCATCTTGGGTGGCGGAGGCAACGATGGAATGGTCAGATTGCTCAGGCGCAGGTACCAACAGGCTGGCCTCAGCCACATCATATGGGACCTCTGCGAGCGAGCATGGAGACAAGCAGAATCACGACGCCGAGGCTTTCTCCAAGGTCTCACGCGAGAGGAGCCGACGAGTAGGCACGAATTGGAGATGATGCATTGGAGGGAGCTTGCTAACCTGCGGAGGTTTATGCGAGAAGTCATAGGCGAACGAGTACCAGAAGGAGCAGCTCGAAGACGACTACATGATGCTCCAGGAGCAGGCAGTGGCCCGAGTAGCCGCCGAGAGCTGCAGGTCCGCACCCACAGCGGCCACCAGACGCAGCAGCAGATTAACACAAGATGGCAGCTCGCGCAGCAGCTCAACCAGCCTGACCCAGGCAGGCTGAACGAAGATGGTGCAGCCAAGGACCAGCAGCAGACCCTCCTCACAGACCTGCACGCGATAGCAGAGGGCGCCCTCGTGGACCCAGGGACGATCAGCAGGGTAGCAGAGGAGGTAAAGAGCATGGCCAAGCAACTCACAAAAGGCGGTGAAGAAGGCGCACATCCACTGGGTGCACGACGCCACGGCAGGCAGTGCTAAGATGGCCCGCGCCTACACCAAGGCAGCGGAGCGCAGCCACCTGGAGGACATCCTTGAGCATGAAGGCCAGGTCATCAACCACCCGCAGCAGCTGGTGGACTTGCGCAAAGAGGCATGGCAACGCAGGTGGACACGAGATGCGCAGAAGGCCGAGAGGATCCAAGAGGCGCTGGCCAAGCTGAGGCAGGCGGCCCTGGCCCAAGAGAATGCCCTCGAGCCCATCAGCAAGGACATCATCGGCTCCATCATCCAGCACCTGAAGCGCAATGCTGGCCAAGGAGCGGACTGGTGGAGGGCTCCAGAGCTCAAGGCCATGGGCGCCCAGGGGCTTGAAGACTTCGTGCAGTGCCTGATCAGCTGTGAGCAACGGGCAGCGTGGCCGCGGCAGTTCTACTTGGTGCTGGAGCTGCTGTTGGGCAAGAAGCCAGGGATCGGTGGTGAGCGCCCCATCGGCCTCATGCCCATGCCGCACCGCATCTGGAGCGCAGCCAGGAGGCCCATAGTAGCCACCTGGAGCAAGGCAGCGGCGGGCTTCTGGGATACGGCAGTAGCAGGCTCCTCAGCGCTACGAGTGGCACTGCACAGACTGACGAGGGCAAAAGCCGCCACGGAGATGGGCTTTCATGCAGCAGGAGTCTTCTACGACGCGGTAAACTTCTACGACAACATAGGCCTCGGCCAGCTGATCGAGAAAGCCAGCGACCTCCAGTACCCGTTGCTGCCGCTGGCAATGGCCGTGCAGATGTACATTGCGCCCAGAGCCATCATGTCCCACAGCCTCTTCTCGGACATGTTCGAGCCTGCCAACAGCATGGTAGCTGGCTGTGGCCAAGCGGTCGACCTCACCAGACCGCTCTTGTATGGCATCCTGGATGCAGCGCGCAGGCACCACATCTTCGTCGTCATGCAGCAGTACCTGGACGACTTGGCCCTGCAGGTAGAGGGTGCGCGGAGGCAGGCCGTAGACCAGATCAAGTACGTGGCAGTGCTGGTGCACGATGGTTTCAAGCAGCTCTCCATACCCATCTCCGTCAAGACGGCAGTGGTGGCCTCGGACAAGGACCTCCAGGCAGAAGTCGCCAGCATCCTGGACAGCCTGGGCACCCCCAGCAAGCAACCAGGTGCAGTGCGCGACCTCGGCGTGGACACCAGCCTAGGCAAGCAGCTACGGCGACCCACCCATGCAGCGCGCCAGGCCAAGGCCAAGCGGAGGGCGGCCAAGCTTAAGGACCCAGCGAAGACGGACGCCAGAGGTGCGGCAAAGGTCTACTCAGCAGGGGCCCATTGCCAGCAGGCCTGGGACTTGCCAGCGCGCGGCATCACGCCCACGGAGGCGAAGGCTGTCAGGGCCACGGAGGCAGCGCTCCTCACAGGCGGACACAATGCTGGGCGCTGCACGTCCACCATCCTCCTGATTCAGAGGGGAATGCAAGAGGCAGTAACACGAGCCATCGGCGACCAGATCAAGCAGTTCTGGCTCACCATAGTCGACCACCCGACGGAGCTCAATAGGTGCCAGAGAGGCTGGCTCCTGCTCTCCGCCAAGCTGGACGCCCTGGAACCCAACCGCAGGTGGCAGCAGGTCAAGGGGCCCATGGCAGGGGTCATCGCGCAGCTGCTTGGGTTAGGCTGGATACCGCGACGCCTGGACAGCTGGATCAGCCCAGCAGGTGACGAGTGGGCCTACAAGCCATATGACATTCCACACTTCGGCGCGCCCCTGCATGAGGTCCAGCAGAGCGCGCAGCAGCAGCTCTGGCGGCAGGCAGCATGCCATCGCAGTGGAGAAGGACTTCAGGCTGGAGGCGACCTCTTTCAGCTGCAGCGCCACCTGAGGAGGAGGAGGCGCAAAGGACAGCATGCAGAGGCAGCCATGCTGGAGACTATAGCGGTGGCGGGCATCTGGACCAGGGAGCGTCACAGGGCGGCCAACCTCAACAAAGAAGGCGACGACACCTGCGCGAGATGCGGCGTGGTGATAGAGACAGAGGAGCACCGCTACTACGCATGCCCAGCCAACGCAGAGATAGGGCACAGCAATGACACCGACCTGGCGAAGAAGGCGAAAGACGCGCTGGACCAGCGGCAAGACCTGCACTTCTGGCTCCGCGGCATCCCGCCAGCGGCCTGGGCAGCCAAGGTCGACCCAGGCGAGGGCGTGGCGAAGGCGGCGCAGATCTTCTGCACCAGCGAAGAGGCGCATGCGGCAGCCCAGGCAGGGTACAAGGTGCGAGCAGACTACGTCTTCACGGACGGCTCAGGTGGTGCAGGGGAAACGGCCAAGGATCCCCGCCTCAGACGTTGCGGCTGGGCAGTGGTGGCCTTCAGGTTCGACGAGCAAGGACGTCCGCAGGAAGTGGCCGCCTGGTGCGGCACGATCAGGGCACCACGCACGGTGCCACGGGCAGAGCTCACCGCCATGAGCAAAGCCATCGGGTACACCACGGCGGCGACGGCCAGGGGACTCAACATAGTCAGTGACTGCAGGTGCGCCCTGGGCGCACTCAAGCAGATCCAGGATCCTGAGGACCTGGACTACAGGAGCACGAACTACGACCTCTGGCTCCAGACGAAGCAGCAGCTGCAGAACAGCACGGACACCATCATGGGCCACCATCTCCCAAGCCACCTGATTGAGCACCCAGCCGAGCTGGAGAGGTGGAATGGTCCCACCTGGTGGGTCATCCGAAACGAGATGTACGCAGGCTGGGGAGCGGAGCATGGAGCATTGGATCCAGCCATCATCGTGCAGCAGCAGACCAGGGACCATATCACCATGGCGGTGCACAATCGGCTGCTGGCCATCAACATGGCGGTGACGGTGGAGGACCCCAACAAGGCCCCTCAGCGACCCAAGGCCAAGCGCCGAAAGCCGCCGGCGGCAAGGGACAGGGCAGCCCAATTGGGACACGACTTGCGCAAGCTACATCCGCGATGGTGGTGCGCAACGTGTCGCAGTGGCCCAGCCAAAGGACAAATCATCAAAGACTGGCTGGCAGAGGCGGGAGAATGCCTCGGGAAGTACGGCGGCCACCAGGACCAGCACGGCAACGTCAGGCTTGACTTCAAGGCGGTGCAGATCGGCACGCAGGTGGTGGACGTCTCCCACAAGACGCAGTACACCCATGGCTGGCTCTGGTGCGAGAAATGTGGCGGCACCAGCTACCTTGGGGACCACAAGAGCAGGATCGTGGCAGGAGTGGCAAGGAAGCTGGCCAGGCCATGTCAGCCCCCAACAGCAGCAGGGAGGCGAGTCTTGGCGGGCATGCAGAAGGGGCAAGCTGCCAAGAGGAGATGAGCCAGCAGCAGGCCCAGCTGCTGAGGAGGGTCTCAACGAGATCACCATGCCTTGTGATTTCAAGCTTGGCCTGAGCAACCACGAGGCGATCGACCTGGACGGGGGCAGCTCAAAGGCAGGGGACCCGCAGCCAGCGCCACAGCAGCCACCCAGCCACCCGCACTCTGTCGTCCAAGCCAGCTGGGGGCTCGTGGACCACATGGAGGGCTACGCGGAGCTGTGGATGAACATGGTCGACCAGGGGGTCTGGGGCGACATGGGCGACTGGATGGAGCACTGCGTACCGTGCCTCCTGGCCATCACCAACGTGGGCGGCAGAATAGACTCGCAAGAGCAGACCAGGGCTGTCACCGTGCAGGAGCTTCAGCAGATCAAGGACTTCTGCGAAGAAGTCTGGCGCAACACGCACCGCAAGCGACGGAGGCTCATGACCAGGATGCTTACCCTCCCGCACGGTACAAGGCAGCAGGTAACAAGAGTGCACATGGACGCGTTCCAGAACAGAAGGAACAACATCCTAGCGCACAGCATCCCCAGCAGCGAGCGCAGGCCGCTGCCGGGAACAGCGGAGGCCAGCAGAGAGTGGTCACCAGAAAACCTGGACGATGATGATTCGACACCAGACAGTGAAGCCCCAGAGCAGGAGGGTGAGCCGAGCGACCAGGAGATGGAGACCACGGCAGGACCTGATCAGAGGAGCGACACCAACAGCCTGATGCAGCCGGTCGTGCAGGTGGCATTAAAGTTGACCAAACCAGTGGGGCCCGACCTGATGAAGTTCGCGAGCGAAGCCGATGAAGCTGGCCTGCTCCACCCAAGGCTTCGACACAAAAGAGAAGCCGACCAGGACCCCGAGCAGAAGGTGGCGTGGCTCGAGCGGAACAGGCTCGAGCAGCACATGCAGTCGCTGGCAGGCTGCTGGATCCAGAAAGAGGGCGAACAGGGCTGGCCATCCTGGCAGGCTGCGTGCGTGCCCCATGTGCTGAGGGAGCTGCAGACTGGCGTCTACCAGAGGCTGTTCAGCCACGTGTCAGGGCTGAGCCGCCAGCGCAGCCAGCGCCGAGCGGCGGAGGAGATCTGCCGCATGGCATGGCTCAACAGCGGAGAGGCGCGCAGGCAGAGCCAGCAGCAGGACCCGAAGGAGGCAGAGCGGCGCAAAGCAATTGCTGAGCAGTTCCCGGGCGTGACTGAGCCAGTGATGAGGAGCCGCAGCCCGCGACCGCAAGCAGCAGTGCGAGTGCCAAGCAGGGCCCCAGCCAGGCAGCCGATGAGGCACCCAGAGGCCAGGGCCACCAGCAGCCCCGCCGAGCTGCGCACGGCAACGCCAGCGCCCGAGCTCGAGAGGCCCAAGGGACCCAGGGTACCGCAGCCAGAGCGGCCCCTGGAGGCGGGAAGGGCTGAGGAGGAGCAGAAACCCGTCAGCAGGCCCCAGTGTGGAGGAGGGACAGGCCACCACGAACCCCTGCGCGGCGAGGGGGTAGGCCGCAGAGGACCCCAGCGTGGCGAGGGGTTAGGCCACAGCCCTGCGCCAGACGGGATGCAGAGGGGTGCCCGCCCCCCACCAGCAGGACGGAGCATCATGGACATGGCAGCCCTCGACCGCTTCCATGAAGAGGAGAGCAGCGAGGATTGCCTCCAGCGGCCCGTAGACAAGCGGGACAGAGATGACAACCACCAGCAGAACCCAGATACAGCACAGCACAAGGTACCACCTGGCAGACCGCGGAGGACCCCAGCGTGGCGAGGGGTTAGGCCACGGAGGGCCCCAGCGCGGTGAGAGGTTAGACCGCAGTGCCAAAGGCAAACAGAGGCACGAGGCGGAGGTCCCTGACGAGCCCAGTGAGCATGACGCGGACCTTTTGACCAACAGTGTGGTAGACAGGACCTCGCAACTAACAGAGCGGACCCATACCATGGGAAACCGACAGACTGAACGCGAGGGGGAGGGCTTCGCCCGCGGATACCACGTGAACCGCGAACACAGCGAGTGGCACAGTCGGGGGACCTCGCCCGAGCCAGTGGGCAGCAGCACCGAGGATGGTGACGGTGCGAGACACGACGTTCCCCTGCGCGGCGAGGGGTTAGGCTACAAAACTACGCAGCCCGAGGCGACGGCAGACTACGACGACACAGACCTGCAGCGGGACCAGGACAAGGATTTCGGCGACTTTCCCCAGCGCGGTGAGGGGTTAGACCGCATGGAACCCCTGCGTGGCGAGGGGTTAGGCCACGGCAATCCCCTGCGCGGTGAGGGGGTAGACCGCAATGCCAAAGGCAAGCAGAGGCTCGAGGTGGAGGTCCCTGACGAGCCCAGCGAGCATGACGCGGACCTTTTGACCAACAGTGTGGTCGACAGGACCTCGCAACTAACAGAGCGGACCCACACCCTGGGAAACCGACAGACTGAACGCGAGGGGGAGGGCTTGGCCCGCGGATGCCACGTGAACCGCGAACACAGCGAGTGGCATAGTCGAGGGACCTTGCCCGTGCCAGTGGGCAGCAGCACTGTGGATGGGGACAGTGCGAGACTCGGCGATCTCCCGCGCGGCGAGGGGTTAGACCGCAACAGGCCCAGCGCGGCGAGGGGTTAGGCCACGGAGCACCCCAGCGCGGTGAGGGGTTAGACCGCAACGCTCCCCAGCGTGGCGATGGGTCAGGCCACGGAGCGCCCCAGCGCGGTGAGGGGTTAGACCGCAGCAGGCCCCTGCGTGGCGAGGGGTTAGGCCACGCGGGACCCCGGCGCGGTGAGGGGCTAGACCGCAATAGGCCCCTGCGTGGCGAGGGGTTAGGCCACGTTTTTCCTTAGCGCGGTGAGGGGTTAGACCGCACCGAACCCCAGCGTGGCGAGGGGTCAGGCCACGGCGGACCCCAGCGCGGTGAGGGGTTAGACCGCAACAGACCCCTGCGCGGCGAGGGGCCAGGCCACCACGGAGCACCCCAGCGCGACGAGGGGCCAGACCGCAGCAGGCCCCAGCGCGGCGAGGGGTTAGGCCGCGGAGGACCCCGGCGCGGCGAGGGGTTAGGCCGCAAAGCACCCCAGCGTGGCGAGGGGTTAGGCCACAGCCCTGCGCCAGGCAAGGCGGCCGTGAAGGTCCAAGAGTCCAGGGGCCAGCGGCCAGGGCGGCCCCTGGAAGAGCGCAGAGCGGAGGAGCGGCTGCGGCCGTCCATCAGGCTGCTCCTCAAGCTCTGAGAGGGCGGCGGCAGCATTTCTTCTGACTGCCGCCGCCCACGGGGCGACTCCATGAGTCATTGAGTGGCGGGAGTGCGACGACGTGAGATGAGGCCGCTGGCCCACCCCGCCTCGGGCCGTTCTGCCTGCGCGGGGTGCCGAGACCAGGGGTGCCCACTCACGGGCGGGAGCACGCGGGTTTAAAACTCCCTCTTCCGCAGTTCGCATGCGTCTCCCTCACCCAGCACAGCGCTTCGTGGCCCCACAGGAAGCTCCACCGAAGGTTCCCGTGGCGAACTTCGCACGCGCCTCCCCCGCTCAGCACAGCGCTTCGTGGCCCAAGAGGGAGCTCCAAGCGGCGCAGTTCGCATGCGACCCCCCCACCCAGTACAGCGCTTCGTGGCCCAAGAGGGAGCCCCACCGCAGGTTCCAATTGGCGCAGTTCTCATGCGTCTCCCCCGCCCAATACAGCGCTTCGTGGCCCCATGCGGAGCTCCATCGAAGGCCCCAGTGGCGCAGTTCGCATCCGCCCCCCCCACCCAGTATAGCGCTCCATGCCCCAGAGTGGGAGCTCCACCGAAGGTCCCAGCGGCGCAGTTCGCACGCGTCTCCCCCACCCAGTACAGCGCTTCGAGGCCCCAGAAGGAGTTCCACCGAAGGTCCCACTGGCGCACTTCGCACGCGTCTCCCCCAACCAATGTAGCGCTACAAGGCCCCATGGGGAGATCCACCAACGGCCCCCGTGTCGCAGTTCGCATGCGTTTCCCCATCCAGTACACCGTTTCTTGGCCCCAGATGGAGCTCAACCGAAAGTCCCAGCGGCGCAGTTCGCACCCGTTTCCCCCACCCACTACAATGTTTCGTGGACCCACAGGGAGCTCCACCGAAGGCCCCAATGGCGCAGTTCGCATCCGTCTCCCCCACCCAGTACACGCTTCGTGGCCCCAGGGGGAGCTCCACAGAAGGTTCCAGTGGCGAACTTCGCATGCGCCTCCCTCACCCAGTACAGCGCTTCGTGGCCCAAGAGGGAGCTCCACCGAAGGTCCCAGTGGCGCAGTTCGCATGCGTCTCCCTCACCCAATACAGCGCTTCGGGGCCCCAGAGTGGGCTCCACCGGAGATCCCAATGGCGCAGTTCGCATCCGACTCCCCCACCCAGTACACGTTTCGTGGCCCCACTGGATATTCCACCGAAGGCCCCGGTGGCGCATTTCGCATGCGTCTCCCCCGCCCACTACAGCGCTGCAGGACCCCAAGTGGAGATCCACCAACGGCCCTATTGGCGCAGTTCGCATGCGTCCCCCCAACGAAAGTCCCAGTCGCGCAGTTCGCATGCGTTTCCCTCAACCAGTGCAGCGCTTCGTGGCCCAAGAGGGAACCCCACCGAAGGTCACAGTGACGTCGTTCGCACGCGTCTCCCCCGCCCAGTACAGCGCTTCGTGGCCCCACAGGGAGCCCCACCGACGGTCCCACAGTTCGCACGCGTCTCCTCCACCCAGTACCGCGTTTCCTGGCCCCGTAGCGCCGAGGGTCCCAGTGGCACCGGTTTCCCAATGGCAGAGTTCGCATGCATTTCCCCCGCCCAAACAAGGGCTCCACGGCAGACGGTATCTACAACTGCGGACTTTACACCTGCATCTGTTTGGTTTCTCCGCCGAGCTCAAGTTGCGCCCCCGCCCCCTTGATTTACAACAGCATCAACACTTGTACCCCGAGGTTGTATGATTATGTCTGCTACCTGATGGGGTTTCAGGCACAGATGGGTCCGATATTCCCTTACCCATATATCCCGGCCGAAGGGGTCTTGACAACACCTCTTCGGAGACATTTCGACATCTCCAGCCCGGATGGCACATGCTTTCGCGATCGCCTTGCCCAAACGTTGTTTCTAGTTGTCACCACGCCTGTGTTGTTTCAAACCGCTGGGAGAAGCCCCGCAATCTCTGGGAGAGCCCGCGGAGCCGCTGGGAGAGCCTCTGGAACTCCTTGTGGGGCCCCCTCGAGCCTGTCAGCAAAGCTCCAGAGCCCCTGTGGGGAGCGTGGTGGCCTTTGGGGGGCGCTTCGAAGCCGAGATGGGTCTCTTGAAGGAGCTACTGGACTACGAGGATGGAGAGGGGAAGAGGATGGATCAGGAGAAGGAGGAGGAAGGATGCTGGACAACAAAAACAGGAGGGGGGCAGGAGGAGGAAAAGGAGGACGACGACGACGCAACGTCGACGACGACGACGCAACAACGACGACGATGAGAAAAGGAGGAGGGAGAAGGTGGGAAGGAGACGAGGAGGAGGAGGAGGAGGAGGAGGAGGAGGAGGAGGAGGAGGAGGACGACGAGGAGGAGGAGGAGGAGGACGACAACGAAGACAACGACGACAACGACGACGCCGACGACGACGCCAGCGTCGCTGCTGCGGGTTTTGCGCGCCGAGACGAAAGCGCCAGTGTGCCCCAGCGGGGAACAGCCGCGGATCCCCCTCCCTGGGAACCCCGACCAGCCTGAGCGTGAGTTCCACGGTTTCCGGGAATATTGAACCACGGCGGAGGCTGTATCGGCGGGTGCGTCGTTGTTCGTGTGGTGGGGGTGGGACGCTTGCGACGCCGAGGCGGAAGCGCCGGCTTTCTTTGAAAGCCGACGTTCGGCGTTGAACAAGAGCCCCAGCCCCAAGTAGAAAAGAATGAGGAGGATGTAACGAGCGGGACTCATATGGTTGCTGCGGTTAGTGATGTAGTTGGTTGGTTATTGTTGGTGTTGTTGGCGTTGGTGGTGTTGTTGCTGTTGTTGTTGATGATAGTGTTATTGGATTTGGTGGTGGTGTGGGTTGTTGCTGGTGCCGATGTGGATGTTGATGTTGTGGTTGTGTTTGTCCGTTTTGTTGTTGGTGCTGTTGTGGTTGTTGTTATTGTCATGTGTTGTTGTTGTTGTGGGTCGTGTTGTGGATGTGGATGTGGTTGTTGTTGTTGCTGGTGTTGTTGTTGTTGGTGTTGGTGTTGGTGTTGGTGTTGGTGTGATTGGTGTTGTTATGATTGTTGTTGTTGGTGTTGTTGTTGTTGCTGTTGTTGTTGTTGTTGTTGTCGTGGTTGATGTTGTTTGGGGGGCGTTCCGGCACAACCCCGAAACGCTTGAACGCGACATGCGTTGGAACAAACATGCTACCAACGCCGAAGCAAAAACGCCAAGGCGGATGCA